CCTGCCCGCTGCAATCCCCCAGCAGGCCTGGCAGGAGGAAGGCACGCTGTCCTTCCGGGTGGGCGTGATGCAGCAGCGGAGAGGGGGCTCCCCGGGCCCCGGCGCCTGGCTGTTGGGCTGGGAGATGGGAGAGCTGCCCGTCTGCGAGCAGTTGTCTGCTCCTGCCGACGCGCTGGGCTTGTGCCTGCTCAGCCGTCTCCTCTGTGCGAAGCAAGGGCAGCTCTTTGGCAATGGGGGGAAGAGAACGGGGCAGCGGAAGGATTTCACCCCCCCAGCGTCTGTCCAGCCCTGGCTAAAAGCCCTTCCTCCGCCCCGCACCTAGCACGCGACTGGCTCAGCCTAGCTGCAGAGGCGCAAAGGAATGTAACCGGCCGGTGAGAGGAACTGGGGGAGGCTCTCGAGGAAATACAAGGGCTGTGCGGGGAGACTCGGGCAGGCCCTGGGGATGAACAGAGAACCGCAGGCTCGGGGCGACAGGCCGGCAGTGACTGTTTTGCTGTTTCCTGCCAGAGTTCGGGGTGTACTGCAGTCACTGCCGCAGCGAGGTGCGGGGCACCCAGTGCGCCATCTGCAAGGGCTTCACTTTCCAGTGCGCCATCTGCCACGTGGCCGTGCGGGGCTCCTCCAACTTCTGCCTGACCTGCGGCCACGGAGGGCACACCAGCCACATGATGGAGTGGTTCCGCACCCAGGAAGTGTGTGCCACAGGCTGGAGAGCACGTTCTGAGCACAGGCAGCAGGAGCCTCCCGCCACCTGGACCCAACGCCGGTTCCAAACTGGCGTCCGTCCTGTGCGCGGCGCTGGCATGGACAAGCACTTCCAGTCTTCCAGCAGCTGCTTGGGTGCCCCCGCTAGAAGTGGCCACGCTCCCTGTGTCACTGCTGGCACGGGACGCTGCTTGGGAAATCCGGCTTTGCTGCTAAGGATGCAGGACTGGTGTCTGGTGGCCAGGGTGTGTGGGAAAGTTCCTTTGGAGTCTTCCTGGCAGGACGACCTAGCACCAAAGATCACATCTGTGACACAGACAGTCCTCTGCACTAAGATACGGTGCAGCTGGTTTCCAGGCAGGAGTCATGGCCCAAGCATGTCTCCGTCTTCACGGAGCAAATAGACACGGGGCCTCTGAGCCAAAATATTTCCACACCTGCGAGTCCCAGTTTTTTTAATGCTGTTTCTGTGTGGCCATTTCTGGGCCTAATGAAATTGTTCATCACCTGAACCAGCAGGACCAAACTGCCTTGTGCAGGCTGGTTTCCTGTTCCGTGGATCAGTAACTGCAGCCTGTACAAAGAGCCCCCCTGTGCCCCCCACAGCGCTAGACTCACCCATTTCTCTCAGACTCACTGTTGGGGGCTGGGGTTTGTGAGTGTTCTGACTGGTTGGAAGGAGTCACTTAACTCCCGGTCAGTGATGCTCCCTGTTGAGTGCACAAAGGACAGCTGCATATCTGGGCCTTGGCTCGGCTCAGTCTGCATGGAACGAGCGCATCGTGGCTTAAGGCAACTCCTTTTTCCTCCTCCCGCTGAGCATCTCTGCCTTGGTTTACCAGGCATCAGTGAATAATTCAGGTTCTGGGGGTGGGAGTAGGTCAGTTAACTTGAGAGCCTGGGCTTGCAGTGCCCTGGCTGTGCTGGGGGCAGGGTGTCGCTTATGAGATTTGCAGAGATGCAACAGTCTCAGGGCCTGGCCACCTTTTTTTCCCATTTTCACCTGTAAACTTGCACTGGCAGTAGTACGGGCAGGCTGCCTTGATTAGGCTCCTGCGGGTCGGTGCCCTCTCCAGCCAGACCCAGCCTACATGGGGACACGGTTCCTTCTGTGCCCAGCGGCGCATAGGAACTCGTTTCTCACCCTCCCCGAGGAACTGCCTGTCTCACACCAGGCTTTGGCAGGCTTGGGGGTGAGGAAACTGATCCTCAGGGTGCAGCGCGGATTAAATGAGTTTGTAAAAGTTGTGAGCTAGTAACTCCCCGTTTTCTGTGCCTCTCCCTGTACCCGTCCTGCGTGGCTGGGCCGAGGCCCGGGCTGTGCCCTGGTACCAGGCTTAGATGTACACTGCAGCCCCAAAGAGCTGACTCTCTTCCCCGGACGCATGTGGGGGTGTGCAGTAACTGGGGGAGGGGGGCTTGTCCCTTGCACCTGCTTGCTATGGGGTGAGTTAGTTCCAGTGGCGCTGGGGAGGGTTAGTTCCAGTGGCTCTGAGGAGGGTTAGTTCCAGTGGCGCTGGGGAGGGGTAGGTCCAGTGGCGCTGG